ATACATTGCAGTTTCAGTTTTCCATCCCATTTGTTTACTGTTATCTGTAATTTGAGTAAGCTCAGAGGTTAATTTTTGTAAAAATAAACAGGACATTTTTTTCTCTCTCTCGTAAATAAAGTCTAATTCATCAGTATCAATTTCAGGAGTTAAATTTCACAGTTAAATTTCCCTTATAAAATCTTTCAATGAGGAGTATGAATAATACAAGTTTAATGTTTATGATTTCACTTTGGGTTCCATTTCTTTTCACCCTTAATTAATTCGCTTATCTGTAATTATAGGTTTCTTCTTTGAGATATTCCTATTTTAAGTTTTGGATGATGTAATAATGTATTATGATAAGTAATGAAAAGATTGTTGCTGATAATGGTTGACCATCGATATACGCTTACCGATTCGAATCATTGATGAGGAATTTTGTCGCTGAGAAACTGAAATTTAGTGTGCTTTGGATAATGAACATTTCTGTGCGCGTCGTTCCCATTTTCCCCAAAGAAAATGGACGTAAACTCTATCTTGAAAGAAGGAAGATGTTAACATTTTCAATTCGTTGTCGTTTGTACTCGTACTTTCCTCATGGCATCAAACCAAATTTGTACTTGATGCTTCTTTGAATGCTGACTGATGCTGACCTACATTTCTTGCTTCATTGGTTCCGATTATTTTCATTATTAGAGCCAATCTTGTACATTGTCATGTATCTTTGGATGCTGACTCTGATGCTTTTTTTGGATGCTGCATTTGACCTACATTTTACACTTGTATTGCCCATTTCTGGCACAGTCTCCTAGAATCAAAAACTGCTCTCATGCTTCCTCTTACAAAGTTGCATCTGCTGCATACATTGAATTTTGCATTCAGCCTACATTTTAGGTGTGATCAGGAGAGCGATTAGATCTAGATGCTTTCTTTTTTTCTTAAAAAAGTATTTTCTATACAGTAATTGAATTATACCATATATGTACAGTGCTCTACAGTTTTTGGAATATGTCTTTACTGAAAAGTCCATTTTTTTGTATTTTGCATATATTGTTTAATGTCTGATTTACAGTGTTCATTGTTTTCAATATTGTTTATTGTTTGAATGCCTCATCTGCACACACACAACTGTATGTCTGTCCACCACAATCCTCGCCTCGCCTCACCTCAGCATCTCTGTCCAGACGTAGATGTAAAGTGAGTGGTTTTGTTTTCAGTATTTAGGGCCCGCTATGATAATGATCAGTTGTTTGTCTGTCTGTTTGTCTGATATTATTTACCCAGAATACATTCTCTCTCCCTTGGTTCAATCAGGTTTAAACTGCAGTTACCTTGAACCAGTTTTCTTAGTTTTTCTAAGTTAAAAGGTCAAAGTAAAAACCACATCTGTGTGTGATCCTTATCTGGAGCACATTTTCTCATTTTGTACTTCACCTATATAAAGTACCCAGTGGTTAAGGATGTGCAGTTTCTAGGTCAGAGGTCGAGGTCTAATCTTTATCGTAGCAAGCATATGTATCTCCCCTTTGCAGTGTCATTGATCCAATTTTCTTAAAGGTCAGTAGTAAACAAAATTTCTTTCTACTTCAGTAAAATCTTCCATAGTTTATGGTTAGATATAATTTTTATCCAACAAGGTGTGTGTTTTTATACCAAGCCTTGGCTCTATTCAGCTCATATTTAACCCATAGAATCTTGATTTGTTTAATGGTGTACTTTTGCTTTAAACCATTTTTTTTGGTCAGATTTCAAGGTCATAGCAGATATCTGTGTGAATTTACTGTCATGATCATTATTTTCTGTTTCCTTGAGCTTCATCTCATACATCTTCCAGGGTGCCAGTGGATTAAAGGTGGAAGTCAAAGGTCAAGGTCCTTTACAATGCCCTTTTATCCTGATGTCTTTTGTAAGAGCGAGGCCCTTTGAGATGGTCACCAACTTATGATGTCCAGTTGTATATACATCATGGTGTTGGGGTTCATCTTATACATAAGGAAAATACAAAAAAAAAAAAACAAAAAAAAAAAACAAAAAACAAAAAAAAAACAAAAAACAAAAAAATACAAAAAAAAAAAAACCAAAAAAAAAAATATGCAGTTGAACTTTGGTATCTCGAACATTGATATTTCAAAAACCATGTATACATTGAAGTGATTTGGAAGTCCTAACCCCTATTCTTTTAGTATTTTACCCTGGATATTTGGATATCTTGAAATTTTTTCTTGGTCCCTTTAAGTTCGAGATAACGAGGTTTGACTTTATATATATGTATGTAAGTATGGGTTATGTGTATATGTTTAGTGTTTGTGTGTAAGTTGTCACTGTCACTGATAGCAAAATAATCTACATGGTAGATGGAGATTACTATTATTAACATAGTTTTGTAGAGACTGAGTATGGGATGATACCTGGTTAGTAGATTTCATACCTGGAGAAGCAAAGCCTCCCCTGGTATGAAATTTACTCACCAGGTATCATCCCTTATCCAGACACTACAAAACTATGTAACAAATTTACCCCACCAATGACCGATGCCATAATTATATACCGGTGCTTTAACACTATTATATGTGGTTTGTAAAGTTTTTGCGTGTCTCCACTATTTTGTTTCAACACTTTTGTACATTGATTATTGACAATGCATGCTACCTTACCTTTTTTGCAAGTGTTTTGTGCAGTAATAAAACAGTTTTGAAGAATTGTTGTAAAGCAAGAAAAAAAGTCCCATAATGTGTGCTTCTTACTGACGTTATTTAACTTTATTTGTTAACAGACATGCGGCAAGTCTCATATTAATTCGGGTTGTAAGTGTTACAAAAGAACGATTACTCTGTATTGACCGTGTATTGATTTTCAAATGACTGTATACAAGTATTACACTACCTTCACGTGACAGTCTTCAAACAATCGTTAGGCAGGATTTCGTCGAAAAATCAGTAGAGGTGGGGTAAATAACAATATCTTATGTCTGATTAGTAGCTTCTATTTCTTTTGGGAGCTTCTTGTGTCGTATAATTATACCTCCACTCCAAAGGAGAGGGGGGTATACTGTTTTACTCATATGTGTCTGTCTGTGTGTGTCTGTCAATAACAAATTTTGGTCGCAGTTTTCTCAGCAACTACTCATTGCAGACACTTGAAATTTTAGCACACTCTGTGTTCAATATGCCATATGGTGGAATTCATTTTTGTATGAATCTGAAGTCAACTTCCTGTTTATCCGTGCGTTTGTCCTTACCAAATTTTGTTGCAGTTTTCTCAGCAACTAAACATCACTGATGCTTGAAACAGCTTCTGTATCAACTGGTATATAATATCGCTGTAAAGTTGGACTAACTTATGAGCCATGGAACTATGAGCATTGACTAGATCTGACCATAGTGGATCTTTGATATTTCACACCAAAAGTTGTCATGAAACAACATTAACTCCATCTTTGCGGGATTGCCATCAAACTTCATGCAGAGATTATATGGGTAGTGAAATATTGAGATAACGAACAGTATTCAAGCTCAAAAGTCCATTGAAACAGCACTAATTGGGAGCAGAGCAAACAAGGACCTCTTAAAAACAGAGTTGGAATCAGGTCCCTTGAAGGAGTAAGCATACCCTATCGACCGGTCACACTCACCATTTGCTCCTTTTCATGATTGTGCAAATGGAAAAATCCGTAGACAATTCAGTGTGTAAATAATGGCCTAACAATGAGTATGAAAAAACATCAGTCAGTATTTACTTAATAATGGATTGTATTTACTGAAAAGGTCATTGTATCAACCATAGAATTTTCAAAATGCTGACTTTAAATGAGACTTGATATCTTTTTTTCATCAACTTGTTTGTCAATAGCTCCTCCTTTTAGAAATTGCTCTTACATGATAGAGCATGCTGTTGTGTATCTAATCAACTGGGAGATATAATCCCCATATGCAGGTGTGAAGGCTATATTATTCCTTTGAATAATTCAAAAATGGAGTAATGGGGGCATGTTTAACAATCTTTTTGGTAGTATTTTGTCAGGTTATGTGACACTATCCAGTCCTTCATCAACTCCACCAAGAAAAATGATCCATCTCATTGAGTGCCTCACCTGTAATTTGATTGATTGCTACGTTTTACGTAAGTAAATGAACTGGTTAACAATATGCCAGGAATGTCATTCTTTCTGGCTAAAGTGAATTTTATATTACCAGCTATTAGAATTTTCAGTTAATTATCAAAGTGATTAAAATGACTACATGTCCTGTATACAGAGAGGGAAGCTGCCAGAAAATTGTATTCAAAAGCATTTTTTTAAGTACTTATATTTTTTGAAATGAACATGGAAGGGAAAGAGTAATTGTGAGGCAGATTTTAATAGTCTCTAGAATTTAAAAAAAGATGTGAAAAGTATTTCGAAGTAATAATTACATCATTATAGTAACATAAAGGGTAGGGACACCAAAGCAAAATACTGATCGATGCTAATTTAGGCAGTGCAGCTTTCTGGTGTAAAATCGGTATGGAGCATGTAAACAAATTATTTAAACTAATGCAAGTTTTGAGGATTTTTTAAAATTTTCTGTTGGCCTCCATTCCTTTTTTTACAAGCAGAAGGAAACATTGGCCTCAATTTAGGGATAAGATATGATAAAGTGCTTTGCTAGATCTCTCTCTTATTTTCTAGAGCACCCTGTCCATTAGAAAACTCTCGGTAATTTAAGCTTTTATTCATTCTTAGCAAAGAAAGGATTGGCTTGCCTTGACCCAACAGTGAAGAGAAGTCCCCTAAATCTACTGAGGACAACCTTGAAAGATGCAGTAAGATTCTTGCTTTTTTTCTTGCTCGCATTTCTTATCATGTTCACCTTGTTTTTAAATGATCTAGACTTGGTCCCACTTTGACCTTCTGATTTTCAATTGACAGGATGTAGACCAGCAGAGCCACGCAGAATCAGCAGGATATAAAACCATCTAGCAGCAGCCAAGTAGTCTCTAATAGGTATCAACTTGTCATATTTCCCATTGTTTTGGTATTGTACTAATCCTGTGTCAGAATCTATCATTATAAGGGCACAAGGAGGGATGGACAGATGGTGGGGAAGATCACAATGAAGAGGAGACTATTGCCAGGATACAGGGTATCCACTATGTCAACAGGCCAAGATTGGCAAAAATGGTAAGAAACAAGCTATATTTGTTGCATTTTGGATTTCTATTGATCCAAATAAGGGACTTATTTGACTCGTTGAATCTCTATGTTAACAGATTAATTGTTTGACAAGCCTTGATCCTACAAAAAGACTCAATTATTTGTCCAAGAAGCAAGGATCAACTGCACCCAACCTTAGAATAAAGGGTAAGATACAAATGCTCTCTTTTTTCTTGTACAGACTCCATTTATTGTTCTTTTTCATATAGGATGTAGATTAAATTGGACCTCTTTTGATTATAAATTTGTATTTTGCAGAAGCATAGAGAGACAGTACCTATCTTAAAATAAAGCAGAGTGCCTCACTTGCCAGCAAGAGCCCACAGAGCTGAAATTGTCTGTTAGCCCTCAGGTGACTGTAAGACAAAAAACTGTACTTCTTTCTCTATTTCAGTTTCAACACTCTTTCTCATCACTTGTTTAAAATTAGATTACTTGACTACATTCTATTGTTAACAGACAGAGGGTAAGGCAACCCGAGATTCTATGTTCAAGAGCAGAGTACTGATTGACTGCAGTGTTCCTTAGAGTGGAGGTAAGACACATTCTCTACTAAATTTACTCTGATAGATTTCATACTTTCATTTGATGAAATCCAATAACTTTGGTTTTGTTGACCACTTCATATCTTGTGTAAACAGGAAGAAGGTTAGACTTGCCTGTCAGAGAGGCTAGAACTAGAGAACAAGATTAAGGATAGACTGTGGTTTTACCTACAAGTGAAGGTAGGACGCAAATTCTTTTTTGACTCTTCGAAAGTTTTTTCTCTTAGCCATTTGATTAAATCTTAGTACAAGTGTTGTCAATGAGCACCTGGCCCCAGGATCATGAAACATCTTAAGCTTAATTAGGTCAAAATCTTTATGTTGTACTAAAATGTTGTAGAAGTCAAGTAGTCCAAAATTCAAATATTTTTCAATATTGATTTGCAAAAGTGTTGTTATGTGTAAATAGAGATTAATTTAATCATCAATAAAAATTACGCAGGTGATTGAAAATTTCACTTAAGTCTAAGTCTGTTTCATGATCCTGGGGAGTGGGGTTCATAACATAAAGCTCGTGTGGAAGAACTGGAAAACTATTGCCCTTGGCCCTCAGCCTCAGTCATCAGTTTCTGAGGTCTTTCCCACTACTTTGGGACAACAGTTTTACAGTTTCCCTCATAGTCATAGAAATAAGTGTGTAATACAACTTACTGTAAAAAAAAATATTAAAAAAAAAAAATAAAAGTCGTGAATAATAATTGGTTTACAGTATTTTTTCTTTTATAATTGATACTGATGAATTTTACCATTCCCAATTCCAAAAAGGTTAATTTTATTCCAATTTTGAGACTAACTATTTCAACTGCCAAGGAACAGACTATGATGATGTAATTATTTTCATATAAAATGTATAAGTTTACCTAATGTTGTATGTGTTAATAGTTAATTAGGTTAGAATAAACACAAAATAAATTTTATTTGTAGTGGGTTTAACATCTAATAGCACATTGAACATTTTAGTGTAGAAATTAGATTTATTTGGTAACAGTTATTGAAACATTTTGCAAATGTAGTTTAGACAGAATGGAGCCAATGGTACCCAGGAAGCCTGAGAAAAGGTTGTATTTTGATCTTGTAAGCCTGAAATAAGGTGAGCTGTATTTTTGTTTTTGCATGTATTTTTTTCCTGTCCTCTCTCCTTCCCTTTCTTACTTACATTACTAACATAACTAACCTTTTTGCCCTTTTTCATTTATAATTGTTTGTGTCTTTCCCAAATATGTAATTGTCACGTTTTTTGTTTGTGAATGATGTACTTCTTTTATTAAATTGTTTTAGTACTGTAATAATTTTGTGTCAGTTTCTATCATTGTCAAGGGCACAAGGAGGGATGGACAGATGGCAGGGGAGACCACAATGAAGAGACCATTGCCAGGATACAGGGTATCCACAATTATAACAGGCCAACATTGGCAAAAGTGGTAAGAAACGGGCAGCATTTGTTGCATTTTAGATTTAGATTTTCTATTTTCACTTTAATCAAACCTGGTACTGGTACTTTAATATTTGACTCTTGATTCTGTATGTTAACAGAATAATAGTTAACTTCAATCCCATTACAAATAATGACAACATAAAGCTTGTGAGGAGGAGTCCAGGGAGTTGGGATCAATTGAAGCCAACCATCGAATAAAGGGTAAGGTACAAATCACTGATTCCATTTCTTGTGCTCATCTTAACTGTTGTAAACTGAACTCTCTTTGATCTGGAATCTCAGGATCCAACCATCTAAAATACCAAGAGCATAAATAAACTGCGTCCAACCTTTCAGATGACGACAGGTAAAGACAGATGCAAAATTGTGGGTGACCATACAATGACAAGGAGACCATTACCAGGATACAGGGTATCCACTACGTCAACAAGTCCACTATATAAGCAACAGGACAACATTGGCAATAGTGGTAGGAAACAAGACCATTTGTTGCATTTTGTATTTCTCTTTTCTATTTTCACTTTATTCAAGCCTGGTGATGGTTTTAGTACTAGTTTGACCTCTTGACTCTTTATGTTAACAGAATAATAGTTAGCCTCAATCCCACTACAAAGAATGACAACAGCACTTGTGAAGAGGAGCCCAAAGATTAAAGATCAACTGAATCCCAAACCATCAAAGTCAGGGTAAGAAGAAAATAACTCATCTGATTCCAATTCTTGTGCTGATATTAACTTATGTAGACTAAGCTTCCTTTGATCTGAAATATCAGTATCATACAAAGTTATGTACTAAGAGCTTAAATAAACTGCATCCAACCATGCAGGTGACAACAAGGATGGACAGATGCCAAATTGAGGATGATGGCATAATGAAGAATAGGACCATACAATGAAGATGAGGATCACACAAGGAAGAGGAGGACTTCACAAGGAAGATGAGGATCACGCAAGGAAGAGGAGGACATCACAAGGAAGAGGAATCACAAGGAAGAGGAGGACTTCACAAGGAAGAGGAGGACCACACAAGGAAGAGGAGGATATCATAAGGAAGAGGAGGACATCACAAGGAAGAGGAATCACAAGGAAGAGGAGGACATCACAAGGAAGAGGAGGACTTCACAAGAAGTGGAGGAACACACATAGAAGAGGAGACCATTGCTAGGATACAGGGTATCCACTACGCTGGCCAAATTGGTAGGAAACAAGCTTCATATGTTGCATTTTTGGATTGCTATGTTTTATTCTTAGTAAACCCAATTAGGACACACACTAGACCTCTTGACCCTTCATGTTAACAGATTAATGGTTAAACAAGCTTCAATCTTGTGGCAGAGAACACATATCACTCTTTAGGAGTCCAGAGAACAGGAACAGAGATCCACTGCAACCAGCCATGGAAGAAAGGGTAAGTTACAAATCAAATGTGCTAAATCCATTGCTTGTGCTCTTTTACACATGATAATGATTGGGGTCTCTTTTGATGTAAAATTTTTGTCTTTAAGAAACAGGACAACCAGACCCTTACACTGTCAAAGGTCTGGAAGATTACATCACCTGCCAGCAAAAGTAACAAGAGCTGGACACAAGAAGAACACACAGTTAAAAAAAGTACAATGCCAGGGTACAGGATCTCCATTATGCCAGCAGCCATTTATTAGTCAAAGTGGTAAGAAACAAGCTGCATTTGTTGCACCATTAGATTTCTGTTTTTTACACATATAACACATATTTGTCTCTAAACTCTTTATGTTCACAGAATAATGCTTTGGCAAATGATCACACTGAAGAGAGCAAATCAATCACTTGTTAGGATTAGTCCAGGGAGCAGGAATCAACAGCAGCCAACCATGGAAGAAATGGTAAGCCAATTATATTATACATGACATTTTTAAATCATGAATTGACAATAAGAACTGGTAAATTAAGAGGTACATCTTCATTTGTTTTGGTATTGAACTGATCTTGTTCATATTCTGTCATTGCTAAGGGCACAGTGGAGGTATGGAGCCAGCACCACTTTCAGGAAGAGAAGAGCATTGCCAGAATATGGGGTATCCACTGTATAAGCAACAGGCCAACATTGGTCAAAGTGGTAGGAAACGAGATCATTTGTTGCATTTTGTATTTCTCTTTTCTATTTTCACTTTATTCAAGCCTGGTGATGGTTTTAGTACTAGTTTGACCTCTTGACTCTTTATGTTAACAGACTAATAGTTAGCCTCAATCCCACTACAAAGAATGACAACATCACTTGTGAAGAGTAGCCCAGGGATTAAAGATCAACTGATCCAATACCATCAAAGTCAGGGTAAAAAGAAATAACACATCTGATTCCAATTCTTGTGCTGATATTAACTTATGTAGACTAAGCCTCCTTTGATCTGAAATATCAGTGTATCATACAAAGTAATGTACCAAGAGCTTAAATTAACTGCATCCAACCATGCAGGTGACAACAAGGATGGACAGATGCCAAATAGAGGATGATGGCACAATGAAGAAGAGGATCATACAATGGAGATGACTATGCAAAGAAGAGACCCACACAAGGAAGAAGAGGACCACACAATGAAGAGGAGGACATCACAAGGAAGAGGAAGACATCTTAAGGAAGAGGAGAACCACACAAGGATGTACATTAGACCTCTTGACTCTTTATGTTAACAGATTAATGGTTAAACAAGCTTCAATCTTGTGGCAGAAAATACATATCAATCTTTAGGAGTCCAGGGAACAGGAACAGAGAACTGCTGCAGCCAGCCATAGAAGAAAGGGTAAGTTACAAATCAAATGTGCTAAATCCATTGCTTGTGCTCTTTCACACATGATAATGATTGGGGTCTCTTTTGATGTAAAATTTTTGTCTTTAAGAAACAGGACAACCAGACCCTTACACTGTCAAAGGTCTGGAAAATTACATCACCTGCCAGCAGCATGAGTATCTACCAAGAGTTGGACAACAGTTGAACACACAGTGAGGAGGAGCTAGTTCATTGCCAGGGTACAGAGTCTCCATTATGCCAGCAGCCATTTATTAGTTAAAGTGATAAGAAACAAGCTGCATTTGTTGCATCATTAGATTTCTGTTTTCTACACATATAACACATATTTGACTCTAGATGCTTTACGTTTACAGAATAGGCAATTTGGCAGGCCTTGATTGCAATCTCCCACTGTCTGGGTCAGGAAGAGTTAATCACCAGCCGAAGTAATACTGACAGCCAGAATTGTCCTGGGCCTGCAGGAGATGGTAAGAAGTAAGATCCACTCCTTGTGTTCTGTCAATTTATGTCCCTATTTCTCACTTGTTGAGTTCTTTATACCTTTATTTATTGATCTGGACATACTCTGTTTACAGATAGGGGACTAGGCTGATCGTATGTTAAAGTGTAATTCCTCATGCTGATGGAAAAGTTTGAAGAATACTCATTGATTGCACCAGTACTGTAGAAGTGAGGGTAATGTACAAGCTTTACTCAATTCACTCTGAGAGATTCCATAACTTTTTCGAAGGACTTTTGTTCCATTAATCTCTTTATATTCTGTGATAACAGGGAGTAAGGCTAGCCTGGATCTAGTGTTCAAGAGCATTCATGTTTCAACTGGAGTACCAAGAAAGTGATGAACCTTTGCCTAACGTAAAAGTAAGACTTGACACATATTTTTCTTTTCTCTGTTTGAAATTTTATTTTTCTTTGCCTTTAGATAAAGTGTTAAAATTCTTATTGATTTCCTTTGTTCTTTGTTAACAGAGAGTTGGACTGGCCTTCTACGATAGTCTTAGAAGAACCTGTAGGACAGAAGATTCCAGATTGTGGCTTGACCAGAACACCAAAAGGCAAGATACAGTTTTTACTCCATGCTCAAACTTTCTCCGTAGGTCATGAGTCCGTACACAAACTTACTCAGTAGGTCACCTCTTGCTCAAACTTTCTCAGTAGGTCACCCAAGTCCATACACAAACATTCTCAGTATGTCACCTGAGTCTTGATTATTTAAGCACAGGATTTGACAGCACATTCGTATCACAGAATTCTTACATTTCTTTATAAGACTACAAGTTTTCATGCTTTAAGATGAATTTGATCATTGTGTTTTTTCCCTTATACAAATGCCAAAAATGCCATTGATTTTTCAAAATTTCTGAGAACAGAAATTTTCATGTAAATTTCTAAATAAATACTGCATTGACAATGTAATTCACTAAGTATGAAACAATTACAAATTTTTAAAAACTTTGGATTCCTGGAAGTAGACTAGTTTTTTGGTGAGACATGTTGTAAACAGCATACTGTGGAATCATTAGACTTCATGGTGGTTCAATATATGTGATATTAGGAGTGACCCTCATCAACAAATTTTTATCCTCCATGAAGTGAAAAAAAGGGATTTCAGAGTCATCTTTTCTTTTGTAAATATGAGAGAATATATGAAATTACATACCCATGAACCTGCAAAATTTAAACAATCCATGAAAGTTGGCCCCCATGAATTTGAACGATTCTACAGCATATTGTAAGTGTCTGACATTTTGAAAAAAATGAAATCAAGAGATATTTAAACAATTAAATTTTTTCTTTGATTGTTAGTACCAGGATCTGTATACAGGGTTATTTTCGCCCCATGTTTTTTGCCCTTTAAAACTAACAAACTATTTTGCCCCATTTTAAATTCGCCCAGTCACAGTTCTGTTGAAGAAATCATACTGTCTTCTTGAATTTGCCCTGTCTTAAATTTG